AAAAAAAAGTAAAATATCAATAGCAAAGCTTAACACAACTATGAATCCTCACCTAGATGAAGGTTGATTAGTCGTTCCTCCAGCGGCAGTATGACGCCGACTGGAACCCTTAGAACGGCTACTCATTCGCAAAGGAGCAGGGAAATATTGTACGGGAGAACAACAAGCGTCACGGTGACTGAAGTACTAACTTAGAGCCAATGTAGAGCCAAAATTCTTTTCAAACCATTCCTCGACACTCTCCTACCTACCTACCTGGTATCCGTTTGAACTTCTACTCCGGAGAGACCTGAGTCTACCTCTTCTGCTTTGTTAGATGATTCACCATACTCCTCAGTGAGCTCAGCTTCTTCTTCCAGCACTGCCTAGAAGAAGAACAATAGCTAAAACAAATATGTCGCAAGGAACTGCTAGATTGAAAAGCATACCTCAACAATATTTAGATCTGAAAGCTTATGAGATGCATGACATTCATATCGCTTGTTGGGCTCCGCCATGTTGAAGAGTTCGAATTTACGCAGCTACAACAACATATAAGTTCAATGGGATATAAGCTTGCATAGAATTTTTCAACAAATAGCTCACCCTGTTATTCTCATCCAAGTAATGGAACTGATACATAGAGTCGTGGTTTTTGCTGTATTGAATAACATGTTGAAATGAATCCTCGTCTTCTGCATCGTCGAACGCTGCCCAGTCTTTCGAAGTAGTGACAGCGGCCCGTGTATCCAACTGAAATAAAAGCAGATTTGACGCTTTATCATGCACCCATAAAACCCTTCAACCTACTTTAGCTTTCTTTCTTTTGTCACTCTCTCTAATGAAGGCCAATTCTTTTCGCGCATCTTCGCTTAGTTCAATATCAGGTTCTTTTCTCACATAGTTGTTCGACAGATAGCTAATTTCGGGAACGGGCAATAAGCAAGAGAACCTAAAAAACACGATATTATAGAAAATGAATAATACAAATTTCTGAATTTACAGCAAGTCGTTCCAAACGTTACTACAAACTCTCAACAACGGAATATCCTGACTTTCAGCTACTCCCGAGCATCGAATGTTGTAAAATACACAGAGTTATACATGAACAAAATAGCTGTCTAGGGGTAGTAAGCAGAAAAGCATGTCGAGCAGCCGCTCAAAGACATTTCGGTTTATGTTAGGCGTATGCGATTTTGGTATGTTAGATATAAAATATCTATAATAAATAAAGTGTGTCCACTTTTTCAGAACAATGACTTACTTCCCTGATAAAACAAAGTTGCATGGGAATTGTGGTGAAAGAGCTATTAACATAGAATAAAAAAAAAGCAGAAAATGCATCATAAACTTGAATGCACATCTTGATGAGGGTCTACCTAGCACATAGAAGATGGACGCCCATAACAAAATAGTTCCATAAAAATCGATCCTATCAAAAAAGACCACCTCTAAGTATTTTCCAAAGTATAATACATGCCATTTCAAGAGTAGTAACTTAACGCGTTTAAAAAAAAATTGTTGACTTTTCTGTAAAATCACATTTTAAGAAATGGGAAAATTGGGCTCTTTTAGACTTTTCAGTAAAACTGCGTTAAACCTCTGGATATTGGTAAGGATCAAAGTCGCGGGAGATACAAATTTAACAGGATTTTCATGGAGAAAACATGGTTTCTGATTCTTCTACATGTTGACTGGAAAAAAAGAGGCCAGTCGCAAAGCAAGATGCTCATAAACAGTAGAAAGAGGAAAGAAGAGAAAATGTTTGCAAAAGATGATAGTATTGTAGCGTTCGAATATCAAAGGTATAGACAAGAAGCAGATTGAAAATTAAAGATATTCCCATGCCGGTCAACATCCCTTAACGTAAACATGAGGACGTGTAAGAACGAGCAAACAAACGAGGCGCGATGAAACACGCAAATATTCAAGATTAGCAGGCAAGTTTATTCTGCAAAAGTTGCGATGAATACCACGCATCGCTACAGTGCTAATTAATTATGTATAAGTGAACGTTAGCCTTCAATACAGTAACCACAACGATCTCTGATAAGAGACAGTGACAACTGGCTTAAAAAAACATACTGGCTGTAACGTGATTTCTGACGTTCTAGCTCCATCAACACAAAGTCAACAATCGCATTTATCTTGGTTTTCAGCCATTCAGGAGCCACAACGTAGGACAGCCATTTCTTCACACTAAAAGAAAGAAAATAATTCGAGAACTGTAAATAAAAATAATTAGAAGAAAAGCGATAAGAAAGCATGACGGAAGTAAGGAGTCTTAACCTACTTTCTTGCCAATACGAACAACATATCCCAAGGAAGCTTGCCTAAGCCCAAAGCTGTGCGAGCATAGCGGAACATTCGAAAAGACAATAAGTGTTGGAAGAATGAGTCTTCAGCGGCAAATGCCTCATCGAAAGCTGAAACAGGTAAGCAAAGAGTAAATAAAAATAATGCCGAGATAGTAGGGCGATTGTACAGGGAATTGACAGGAAAAAGCTAAGTGAAGAATGAATACAAGGCAAGAAAACTGCTCACTTCTGGTTATGATTGCAGGAAATATTTCTCCCACGGAGGTGTTGTACATATGCTCACTTTCACAACATGTGTCACATTCTGACTCCATTCGCTTTCTAGAATTCAAAAGCTTATAATGCGAATTTTTAAAAGACCTCAAAGGCTTTCGAAACATACTTAGCTGCTGCCGAAGATGTCCTATTCCGTAAACGCGAAAGAC